AAATCTTAAAGTTAGCAGCAGCGACTCAATTTCTTTTTGAGTATTCATATTGCAATAATTAAATTACAAAACGATTAGAGGAAAAAGCACCATAACAGGTGATCATTCCAACCTACATGATAAAAAGAATAAGTCCAGGTTTTTTCATGTCATTTTAGCTAAATAGATTTGCGGAGAATGAGTTTGATCATAGCAACGTCAAGTGCAATTTTTGAGCTGAAAAAACAATTTTTATTAATAGTTGTCATTTTAATTTTATAGATTTGTCCTAAAGAATAGATTTGTCACACAAAAATAGTGCGCGTTCAACTGTCAGCATCAAAGTATCACAGCGCTCTTGTAGTCACGTTAGTCTATAAAAGAACGTTTCAGTGCACGATAGACGTCAGAAGAGAGTCTAGTGGTGAGTGCGACAGATCGGTTCCATAGATCGGTCCATAGATCGGTCCCCCGCGTGAAATTTTTTTGGAGAAGTGGTCTCATTAAAAAAAACCGCTCTGATCATTTATTTTTCATACTTTCTTCGAAAGTCGGAGCAAAACTTGAACCAGTTACTTTTATTGTTAAAGCGGAATAGAAAATAACTATGGCTTAGGATTGTTTTTACCAGCAACTTTACATTCCTGAAAGAGTTAAAGTAAGACATCATTTCAAATCCCTATTCAAGATGATTCGGATTTGAGTAAGACAATAAAACTAATGAAACCAATTAATAAGAAAAAAAGAAAACAATTTTGTGGTGGGGGATAGTTCGCCACACGTAAATAGTGTGCGTTCAACTTTCAGGAAAAAAGTATCACAGCGCTCTTATAGTCACGTCAGTCTATTAGCGAGCGTTTCACAGCTATCGAGAAGTCAGTATCGTCTAGTAGTAAGCGCGCCCGTTCTGGGACCTCGAAGATCCATGGATCGATCCCGCGAAGTTTTTTTTCTGAGAATTGATCTCAATAGGGAACCCCACCGAGCATAAATGTTCCTTACTTTCTTCGAAAGTGGGAACAAGACTTGAACCAGTTACTTTTGTTGTTACAACGGAATGGAAAGTAAATATGGCTTACGACTGTTTGCACACGCAGTTTTACATACTTGAAAGAGTTCAAGTTTGGTATCATTTCAAAGCTCTATTCAAGATGATTCGGGTTTGAGCAAGATATTTCGAAGAAACGCTTCAAGTTTTGAGAAACACCAGTCTCATTGTTTTTGTTTTCTGTATTTTACAGCAGGGTAATTTAATATACTTTTTTGTCTTCTAGTTTGTTTTTCAAAAATTAACTTTTTTCTTTTCAAATTGAGCATCTTTTTGTGCGTTTGTACCACTCTGTGCTACTTGCCCAGTGACTGGTCACATTTGCTATTTGCTGCAAAATATTTTCTCAAATTGAGGACCCATGGCTCTAATAACAATTGAATTTTGTGCCATTATTTAGAAGCTTTGGGCATATTTTAGAATCATTGCAAACAACTCGGCAGTTTTTTTGTAAATATGTTCTGTCCGCTCTACGTTCTGTTCGATGTAATTATGTTCTGTTCGATGTTGGTTAGTTCTTTGTTAATAAAAAATCCGCAACTATCAAAAAACAACAGAATTGGCGTTTCGTTTTTTAATCAGTATATTTAGTAGCTCATACTTGGTAATGCGTTGTTTTTTATCAAATCTGGGAAGGGATGCTGCTGATAAGACCTACCCTAGGTTCGAGCCTCCCTGTTTGGGCAATAGGATCTCCAGATTGTGCTTCTCTCCAAATCTCAGCATCATGGTTCCCATTAAATCACTCACACACTGAAACCATTACTAAAATTGTTATCATGTATTCACTAAGGACTGAAAACATTTTCTTAAAATTAAGTCGTCTTTCAAACACGAAGTATTGTTTTTTTTTCCATTAGGGCGTCAATTTCTGTGGTTCCACCCAACATACGACCTATCCAGCTGTTCCCGGAGAATCACTTCTGTTCCTCTTAAAATATGTCGAACAAAGTTGATTTTGAAGGCATCATTCGCCAATACTTTTCAATTGCAGGTCTCCTCCTTACAACCCTAAGTTTGTTTGAATAAGTACTTTCTCCAGATAAGTTTTTTCATATTTTTTTCCATGAATCAGCTTATCAATTGGATCAAGTAGTATCCCACCAACACCAAAAAATTGTTCATGGATTAGTTTAGGTCCATTTTAAGTCAACTTTTGGCCGATTAAAATTGATTTAACATGAACCCTGGCCATTTAGGCAATGAAATAGATTTTAAATTCAATAAAAGTGCCCACAACCATTTTCAATCGATTCGGATTGACTTTGGTTGGTCATTTCACCCATATAAATCTCATCAAAATTGATTTAAGTCTAGCCAAAGTTTACCGATATCCATTTAAATCTATATTAATGGGTGTCTCAGCAAATCATTTCGAGTGTCTGAATTTTTGGCGATTCTATTTTGGCGATTCTATTTTGGCGATTCTAGATGAAAGCTCTAATACTTGGTACTTAAAATAGCATGTAGAGATAATTTAACCACAAAAAGGACAAAAAGAGTTCGTAGCAGGGGAAACCCTGAACAGTTCGACTGCCCATTAGTTGGTCTTGATTAATTTTTGGTCTAGAACATTCGATGAAAAATAAAATTCGAAAATGTTTATGCTATCAGCTCCAAAACAAAAAAATCAAATGGAACGAGTTCCAATTTGATTTGAGCAGGAAATTGATATGAGCAATTAGCTTGCTTCAGTCTAATTCAGGGGCGGATTTAGGGGGGGGGGGCGGCCGGGGGGGGGGGGGGCGTACGCCTCTTCTCAGGGATTCGACACCCTGCCGACCCAATGGGTCCCCCCTTTGGTACTTTTTAAGAAATCCATTTTTGGCCGACCGACCCTAAAATTTTTCTTAAGGCGCCTTTGGCGCCAATATTTACTAATTTTGAGGGGGGAGCGCGCGCCGAAAAAACGCAATTTTTTGGTCAAAATTTTCCAAAAAGTGCCTAAAAACGCCTTTTTTACTGTTTTTTTTCAAAAATTTGCCTGAGGCGCAGAAAACGTTGCCAAAATAGGGGCCAAAGTGCTTTGGGAGAGCTCAAAAAATCAATTTGGTCGACCTAAAAAAAAGTCAAAATTTTCGATTTTTTTTTGAAAATCCGCCCCCCCCCCCCCTTGAAAAAATCCTAGATCCGCCCCTGGTCTAATTCAAAAGTTTTTTTTTGCGACGCTTGAATAGTGTGCGCTAACGCTTTCATTTCATCATCATAGGTATACTCTATAAAAAGCACAAAAATTAGTTAACAACATGACAGTTTTACTCCAGAACGATGCCACAAATGATTACAGGTAAAAAAAAATTCTACAACAGACTGAAGGTGTCCACACGTTGCTGGGGTAAGAAAAATTTTATAGAAATTAATTCTGATCTGAATAATCAAATGAGCCACCGAAGCATAAATAATATCTTTTTTTACATGAATATTGAGATTATATAAAGGTCTCAAAAGCAATCAGCATTAAAACAAAATTTTATAAATTTCAAATCTAGTCAAGAATTTCAGCCAAGAGTTGTTTTGCATTTAAAAAAGTATCAGACATAAATCAGATTTTGGGACAAAAACTGTTTGATTGAAACCTAACATTTTTCATTAAGAATATCTCAGCCTTGACGTTTGCATTGAGGCGGAGTAAAAAGCCATGCAGATCTGAGTTTTTGCTTATTCGATGCAAATGCTCAAAATAAAATATTAGGATGTTGATTGATTCCCACTATTTTTCAATGATCTTCTTGAAACGGGCTGACTCTGACACGAAAAGAAAATGATAAGGACATAATTAGTATTCCTTATATTTAACTCGATTCATATCGATTCAAACGATGTTTGAAGTGATTTTAAATCAGTTTTAATGAATACTAAATCAATTTGATGTCTTTTCGCGAAATCTCGATGCAAAAATAAGTTTAGAAAACAGTTAAAAAATTGATTCGATTTAAAATGCAAGAAAATTTTGTAAAAAGGAAGATGCATAAACAAGAAAAATTTGGGTTTAAATCGAGTTAGAATACATTTATATCAATTGATATACGTTCAATAATAGATCGGTTTGAATCGATTTGAAATAAGTTTGAATTTAATTTTTTGTCTAAATCCTTTTTTCTTAGTAAAATCAATCTTAATTCCATTTTGGCTTTTTGGCATTCCAACCTTTCAATTTTTCTTGTAGATTTATGAGTAATTACGCCTAACCCAGTGCTTTGATCTTAATAAATCTTTCCACGATCATGGCTAATCTTGGATTATCCATGAAACATGACTATCATGCCAAGATCTTGCAAGATATTCATGTCAGATATGTCCTCGGGGAGGAGTAATTTATCAAAGGATGGGGTTCAAAATCTTGTCAAGATATCCATGATACTTATTTCAAAAATGAAATCACAATAAATTTTGCATTGGTAATTATACACAAGTTTGAAGCTAACCTTTTTGAATACAAATTAGCAAAGTATCCAGTTTTTTTCGTTGAATTAATTTTTGGTGTTTTTCGAATCTGATTCGTATGAGTGTTCGATAAATGATTTTTTGAAGAAAAAACTCGAGTGAGAAGGGAAGCTCAAAGTTTTTGATATCAATTTCAACTAATCATGTTTTCTCTAAAGAAAGTTTTGTTGAACATGTGCTCAGCCTTTTGCTTTACTAGTCAAAAAAATTCAAAATTTAGTTAAACGAAAGTTCTTCAAATGAAAAAAACTAAGAGTTTCTTAGCTTAGAGCTTAGTATGTTCTAATTTGGATGCAATTTATTGGCAAGGTTGTTCTAGTTATTGTTATGTGTTTTTTTTTCAACAATTTGCTCGAACTTTAAAAAAGCTTGGGAGTTTCTTTTGAAGAATTTCGGTAGTTTTTCTGAGTCAAATTTTTTTAGTTAAATAAGTTTTTGCAAACCCACTTGCGATTGATTTTTTTGCAGAATTCTCGTTATTTTTTTCATTTTTGTGTAATTTCACACATCTAAAATTATCAATCTCTACAAGGTTATAATGATATATCAGATGAGAAGAAAGGAGCTTGCTCACACAAAATAGTTTTTCTTCAAACAAAACTTGGATATTCTCAAAAACACTGGCTCCGCTAAATTTTTAACAACTTTTTTGTTTTAATTGCAAATACAGCCTAACCTGATAATAACATAGCCTGACTTATTTTCAATTGTAAAATTAAAAATGCCTACATGTTTGTCCGTTTTTCTCAACTCTTCACTTCTTGTGGCTAAATATTGAACTTTATTTCTGTTAAGCTGTGTGTTGCTTCGTTTTTATTGCAGAGGGAAAACTAGAAAGAACTCGAAATATTTACTCATCGAAAAAGAAGCAAAAATTTTAGGACTTGAGAGTCTGACTTCTAAAAAACAAGGAACTTAATCACAAAAAAACTATTAATTTCTGTTGTTAAAATTCGGGTTTCGTATCAAACTGTTGAAGTTTCTGCTATAAAAATTGTTCTACCGTATAACTGAAGCAGTAACATCCATACAAACAACATTTTGTTTAATTTGAAGCATGTCTATTTATATTTTAATTTTAAATTTCTTGCTGAAAAAGCTTCCTAAGAAAAAAAATTTTGCTGTAGTTGTTTGCCAATAATTTTTTTTCATTTTTTTTTTGAGATTTTTCAAGAACCATTAAAAAACATAACGCTTCCAATATACTTTTGTAATAACAACGTCAATCAAAACATATAATTAATAATTTTCTAGATTTCAGTTTCTGGTACCACGAATATCGATCTCAAAAGCTTCAATTTTGAAGTTTTTTACTAAGCTTTTTGTCGGCTATTTGGAATTTTTTGCCTTTTTTAAATTCGCTCTGTAAGACTTGTTGCTGATTTGCTTTTTTTATTTATCAGAAAACTAACAGACATCATTTAGGTTGCAAAGTTTTGATATCTTTGTCTATAATGTTTGAATAGTTCGCCTTCCTAAAAAAACTCTTACATGGATTGTTTGTTTCTGGAATTCTCAACCATTTTTAATGGAACTGCTGTATTGTCATCGATGAAACCTAATCATATTTGTTTCAAACGGAAAACTGATTATCGTTTAAAAGACAATTTTTTTCTGATTAAAGAGCTTTTTGTTTCCTGTTCCAAAACTAACTTATTTTGAGCAACGTTTTTGCGAAATGAGTCAGTGCTGTATTTGTCAAAAATATCGCATTTTAACTTTTGCTTAATTTATTGATATGATATATCAAATGAATGTTAATTCGCTCCGTAACGTCGAAGAATAAACATTGTTAAAGCATAATTGGACATGTTTGGAAATCTTTTCACGGCAAACTGTTTGGCATTTTTTGTATTAAACACCTTGATCTGAAGCAGCCATCTCTTTTATTCACAAACTCGCGCTCCTCCATGTTGCCGATGATAGATGTGCTTACTGGTGGAACCTCCTTTAAATGTTGTAGTTAGATGTTGCTTTGTATTTTCATAGTTTTGCCTGTCATCAGATCAGTTTGTTTGATTGTTAGTTTCAATTCTTTTCATGTTTTCATGTTTTTTTTAAACTAGCTCAAAGTAGTGTCTGACAATGATTTTTTACAAGTAGTTATTGTTTTTGCTAACAAAGTCTGTTTTGCGAAAAAATTGCAGCAAACTAGCTCCCTAAACAGTTATGCAACGGCTTCATTTTAGCTTCACTGCAAAATAACTATTTTTAGACTGCATTCGACTACAAAAATTCAGTTTTTTTGTGCGTTTTTTAAGAACGGCTTCCAAAGCTCATAGGATACTATATTTCTTTTTTATACCTATTTCATGTAATATTTTGTAAAAAACGCTGATTTTCTTGATTTCATTTTTTTGTGGTGTTTCCGATATCGATCTCAAAACTTGACACTTTGCTTTTCCCTACCCGAATTGTTTTTATTCGGCTAATCGATAAAAGTTGATTATTACTCTAGTTTTTGTCACTTTAAATTGAAGTAAATAGTATAAACAAGCAAGTATTAACTATCAAAACTTGCTTTTTTATAGCAAGTATTGTTGGCTTGGTAGACCAGCCAGGTTTTTGAGATATGATTTTTCTAACAAGACTGAACCTAAAAACCCTGATTGGAGTCTTTGCTTTTCGAATTTCTCTGAGTTCTTTTTGTTTTTGTATAATTGGTATATCGTTAATAGTAGATCACATTCAGAGCTTTGTTACGATATATGACAATAGTTTTAATTGTTCTTGGTTAGTGAGTTTTTGGTTTTTTTGTGAAAACTGCAAATTTTCAAAAATCATTGATCGGGTGATTGATTTGCTGATTTCCAAACTCTGGAAGTTATTTTAAAATTTGTTTCTGCATATTTTTAAGCCATAGTCAGAGTTTTTTTGTTTCGATATATGATATGAGTGGCAACTCTTCCTGGGTATTGATTTTATCTTTCATATTTCTAAATGAAAAAATGCAAATTTTCAAAAATCGTCGATCGGCTGATTGATTTGCTAATTTCTCCGAATTTTGGGTTTTTTTTTAAAATATTTTTTAGGTATCGATAGGTTACAGTCAGAGCTTTGTTTTGATAAATAGTGTGAGTTTTAAATCATCCTGGGTTTTGAGTTTTTAATGATTTAGTGTTTGCTGGTAAATTACAACTTGCTGGTAAGTTACGAATCCTGGTAAATTAATGTTTTAAGATATGAAAATCAAATCTGTTCACAATTGTTAGTTCGTTCACCATGCCATATGTCATAGCCTTATGAAAATGTTAAAGTAGTTTTCAAAGTTAGAATTTGAAGGTGAGGGTGTGGAAAAAAGCCCTCAGTTTTTAATCTGAATGGTTGTTACCTTGTGAGTTTTGACCATTGCAATATTAGTTTTTTTCCTCTCACAAGTAGACATTTTCTCTTCCTTCTTTCCTTCATCTATTACTGTTTGGTCGTGATAGGGCTGAGCTACTTGATTCGCCATCATTCCAGTTTGATGGGCTTGGTGACTAATTTTTAGAGTCAAGTGGTCGTCAGTGATTAAGTAAGAGAGAAAAGAGACCAGCAACAGAATAAGGAACACTGACAGGCACACTCTACGCCATGACTGAAATAAACTTACACTAAAAATACTTTAAATGGAACCTTAAAGAAAAATTAGGACATCCGAATTAGTTCTATCTCAAAAGTAATCCGCAACGTAGACGAAGAAAACCCTGAATGTTCCAACTGCTCTTTAATTGGTCTGGAATAGTTTTTGGAAAAGAAAATTATATTTAACGAGTATTTGTGAACTGATTTTATTTTGTACTGGTTTGTCTTCCCCAAATATCGAGTCGTAGGTTATAGTTCCGAATTTCATAGAAAACGGAATATTTATGCTCGGTGTAGTTTTTTATGCAGTCAATTTTCTCCGATCGAAATAATAGTTTTCAACAGAACATTTTTATACCCCCAATTAAGATATAGACGTCCTAAAAAGTTCAAATTTAAAAAGATATTTTACCTCAGATTAATTTTTGTAAAGTTCTGGGGGTTTGAAAATTGCCAAATTGGCCATGTTCTGGTCTAAATTATGCGCGCTTTGAAGCCTCAAATCAATTGAAAAGATGTTCATTGCGGGATAATTTGCCACGCATAAAAAATTTGCGTTGCGTTTTCAGATGAATAGTTAAAAGCGCGCACAAATTAGTCCATGTAAAAAGTAGTACTGTTTGACCATTTAACCTCTATACTGATCGTTGACCTTTACGTTGTTAATTTATATACACCTGCCAAAAGCGCAACGGCTTTTGGTAGACTTGGAATTTGCGCACTATCTTTTATGATATGCAACAAATCAACCGAAACTAATTCAATCTTTTTAACATCTCTTACTTTAGATAGCATCACCGTCTTTTATTTAGTCTTAAATAAAAGCCTACATTTTATCGTAGGAATCTTAATCCAACCATAGTCTTAATCTAGTCTTAGTTTAAGTGGCCACTCTTAATCACCTACGAGTGTGTTATCCTAATTTTTTAACATGGCGCAGTCTAACGAATCGAACCTACGAGGACTAGAGTTTTTTTGGAACAACTCATCAAACGAAAATCAACACGACTGGGAAAGGTGGTCAGAAAAGTTTCAATTGACAATTATTGCGAAAGATTCCGTAGACATCGAAGATGTAATTAACCCACCGATAAGAAACGAACTAACTTACCCTACGGCAGAACCACCGGACCCGTCCGATGATCAAGCCCGTCGGGCCGAAAAAGAAGAACACCACAGAATAGCAGTACAAAATTATAACGAAGAACCGAGAAGGAGAAGGGCGGAAGATAACGCAAAATTTAACGGACTCCAAATCGGAGATATTGACAAGAAGATAAAATCACAGTTATACCTAGCACTCGGAAAAGAAGGACAGAAATGCTTCTCTCATAAAAACCCTGGTAAAAGAATTCTGGATATCAATTTCGCAGAATTTTGGGAACTACTAAAAACTACCTTCACGATCACTACAAACTTAACATACGAAAGATTTAAATTTTTTGGCCGAAGACAGAAAGAACATGAGTCCTTAGAAAAATTCCACGAAATACTTTCTGAACTAGCAAAAAATTGTAAACTGGGGGAACTCGAGTCAGAATTAGTAAGAGACATTTTCATCACAAACATGAGAAATGTCGAGATCCAAAAGAAACTATGCATAGAATACTTGACCCCAGAAAACGAACTATCTTACGTATTAGTTCACGAAAAAGGTACTAAAATCCATCAACAGTACTTAAAATTCCCAACTTGTAACGCAGTACCAAGACCACAATACGTAAAGAATGAACCAACCCTAAACATCGTTGAAAATAACAAATGCCGCAACTGTGGTCAGCAATTCAAAAAAGGACATTTAACCACATGCCCTGCCAGAGATAGAAACTGCAATACGTGCGGACGCAAAGGACATTTTGCTAAACATTGCAGGAGTTCAGCAAGAACACAAACGAACATCGTCGAACAGAATCGAGTACCTCAAGAAAACGAAAATACCCGGGCCAACCCGCAGGAAAATCCCGAATTTGAGGTCAACTTAGACGATTTCTTAGTTCTAGCTGTAGACACAGATAACCAAATAAATGCTGTAGAAGACAAAATAGAGCGCGGAGTGAGAACAGTATTCAACCACGAAGGACTAGAACTGAAAAAGACACTAAAGGTATCCCTGGGAAATTTCAACACTTACCATACCGAAATTCAAATCGACTCAGCAAGTCCAGTTTCTTTCATGAAAAAAGATCTACTACACGAATTGAAGATACGAGATAGATTTTTAAAACTAGAATCTGTGGACGAAATAACAAAGAAAGCATACCAGGGCTTCGGGAGTACAATCAACATTATTGGAAGAGTTCGAGTGAGAATCCGATCGAAGGGATGGGAGGCTAATGACCAAAAACTTTTCATCACCGAAGGGGCTGAAAGAAATCTACTGGGAAACGACATCTTACCGAATCTGGGAATCGTAGTATTTCAGAAACAACCCCCACCCAATGGGCCAAAGTCATGGAAAGACCAGAAAGCATCACCCATTGGGACAAACGTCAACCAAATAAAATTCGCATCGGATAACAAACAGGATCAAAACCAAGAGACACCATCTCAAAGTGAGTTTAAAATATACATATCAAAACACTTTTCAGACCTCATAAAAAGAACGGGTAGATCAAAGAACTACGTAGTTAATACTTATTTTAACGACCCGTTAAAACCGATACAGGTGAAAGGGAAACGTATCCCGATCCATCTTCTCCCTAAAGTCAAAGTATGTATTGACCAATTACTAAGAGACGGACTCATCGAAAAATTATCTAGATGCTCTGAAGATTGTTTCATCTCCCCCATCGTGATTGCAGCAAAAAGGGACGGATCAATCAAACTAGCATTGAACACAAAACTATTAAATAAACAGATATTTTGTAATAGATATCAAATGCCGAACCTATTCGAACTAATTGACAACGTAGCAGTTACAATTAGCGGTCACGATGAAAGAAACATCTGGTTTTCATCGATTGATCTAAAATACGCCTACAGTCAAATACCGCTTTCTAAAAAGGCAAGTAATCAGTGTAATTTTAACATCGTGGGGGGAGAAGTAACGGGTTCCTACCGTTTTAAAACCGGATTTTACGGACTAGGCGATATGCTTAATGATTTTCAACGCATAACGGACCGTTTGACGGAAAAATTACCAAATACCCATTGTTACCTCGACGACATCCTAATCGCCACCGTGGGTAGCGAGGAGGAACATAAAAAGCTAGTCATTAACGTGTTAAAAACACTAGATGACGAGGGACTAGCCATAAAATGGGAAAAATGCACATTCTTAACTCACAACATAGAATGGTTGGGATTTAAAATCGACGCAAAAGGGACGACACCACTAATACATAAATCTGACGCAATCAGAAACCTGAAGGAACCAAACTGTATCAAAGATATCAGATCATTAATGGGATCGATTAATCAATTTAATAAGTTCATACCAAACTTAGCGTCCCTATCAACACCGTTTAGAGAACTTATGCAAAAAAAAACCATTTAAGTGGTCTACAGTACACACGGAGGCGTTTGAAAAAATCAAGAAAGAAATTTGTAATACGGTGACGAACCATCATTTAGATGTAAAACTGGACACTCGAGTGAAATGCGATGCCTCACATTTAGGATTGGGCGCGTCCATCGAACAGGACCATCGGGGGAATTGGAAGACCGTAGCGTTCGCTAGCAGATTTTTGAATATTGCCGAATTAAAATACAGCACTAATGAACTCGAACTACTGGGATTAGTGTGGGCACTAGACCATTTCAAAAACTACCTACTGGGCAAACAATTCTCAATTTTAACAGACCACAAAGCCTTAATAGGAGCACTGAAAGACGATAAATATACTAAAACGGCCCAATCACGTCTCACCCGTTGGGCGGACAAACTACTACCGTTCGACTTTACCGTCGAACATTTACCCGGTAAAGATATGGGATTTGTTGATTATATATCCCGACACCCATCGGGTGAACCCGTACCAGTTTCTCTGGATGACGAAAAATTTGTTATCGCTTCAGTAAATCAGATTAGTACGCTACTAGGTTTTGATCACCTAATGCCGAGAAATTCGTGGTCGCAAATAAGAAATAAATTCTCTCAACATTTCTTAGCACATGACGTCACTTCCTGCAACACGATTGGCCAGTCAACAGATCATATGACCAGTCAAGAAATAGAACGTGAGAAACGAATTGCTAATGCCGCTGAAACGTTCCAAGCGATAGCCAACTATTCCAACATTTCAGTGTGCCAAAATTCTCACTCGCGTACAGAACAGTGTGACTCATCTTGCAAATTAAACGGTTTTTTTTAACGAATTTTAACATCCTGAAAGAAATGGCAGAACAAAATGAATTTAACCAACAGAAAGAACTTATTGCTAATGAAAACATGGACTTTTTAACACCAAACACCAGTAACCCGTCGGATAATCCCGTGAAAAGATCACCTAGTAAAAAGAAAACAGTCAGTATATTCCCTTTTTCTTGGCCAGAAATATTCGTTTCAAAATTTATCTCCCTCTTATCAAAACAAGATCTAGTTCTGAAAAAGATAATTAAAGCAATTGAGGAAGACCGCAAACAAGATATTCTACAACTGGGAAACTACTATAAATCGTACTTAAATAGTTTACATGTCAGCGGAGGATGTCTTTATCTGGACAATCGGTTAGTTATCCCAGAATGCCTAAGATCGACAATGCTCAACCGACTACACGAAGCTCACCCTGGTCAGTTCGCAATGAAAAGTCTGGCAACTCAATACATCTGGTGGCCGAAAATTTACCGCGAAATTCAAGTCCACGGCGAAAACTGTATTGAGTGCGTGAAAGCAGGTAAAAACTTGAAACCTCTTATAAAACACAATACCCTAGGGAAACTCCCAACGGTCGAAGAGCCAAACCAAGAAATGAAATTAGACTTTGCCGGTCCGTTACCTTTAGTATGGGGAACAAAAAAAGACATATTAGTGTGCGTGGACAGATTTTCAAAATTCCCATCAGCTCAAATAAC